CTCGTCCTTCTTGCTGCTGTAGCCTTGTTAATCTTCTGCATCGGTGTCCTAGCTGGTCGGTCAACTCGGCTCCATCGTGTAAACGCCAAGCTCAAGTAGTGGCTCCAACCATCTGCTTCTGTGTTGTGCATCTGTCAGCGTTTAATTCATAACACAACGAAACCGTCCAAAATTGTCTTGTAGATACAAAATATGTATCGTCATACTAATGTACGGCTTGACATTTCAATTCTAGACTGATTTTGATCAATCATCGCTATCTCATGCCTGACTGAGCCATTCGGCATCAAACTCACGATAATGCTAATGCCATGTCTAAAAATTCATATTGATGCGCCCTTCTGTAAACAACGTATGCTCCGCATGTCTAATTTTATCCTTTTTTGCCCCTTAGCAAATATCAGCCTCACCTACGCTGAGCTACCAGCTGGGGTTTGGTATTGTAAGTTAGGTCCCAAACATGCAAGAGGTAACGATTGTCGTTCGAATTCATTTCCCTCCACTTTGACCTCGGAAACTTTCGAATTTGCATTTGGCAGATGCCAGACAAATCATACATTTTTTTAACCATTTCGTACTGTAAAGCGGATTATACTGCATTTCATACAATATTTTTTATATTGCCTTGGTATTTACTCCCAATAAGGGTAATGATGGCTAATTATGCGCCAGGAAGGACCACCCAGTGCCCGCTCAGCCCCGATCGGCTTCCCGTAAGAACTGAGCTCACCTGGTTTGGAGATTTTGATCACCCGGGCAAAATGGCATACGAACGCGGAAGATCGCAACCAGGGTCCTCGAAGCCAAGCCCTAACGAGCGGCGTTCTAGGGCCGCTACCTATAATACCGAGCCCATCCACACCCAGCCAGGCAAAGGGCCAAATAGGCAAAAGAGACGAAGCAACCAGGTTAAGAATGCAGGATTTATTGAAATAAAATAGGGTCGTCGCGACGATTAGTCAACCTCCTCTATGGTAGGGCCCTTGCCGGAGCCATGGCCATCGGCACCAGGGAAGCCTCCCGGGAAGCTTCCTGGCATTCCTGAAGGCATACCACTGCCGGACTGGTACATTTTCGTGACGACAGGGGAGCAGACCTTCTCGAGCTCCTTTTGATGGTGCTCGAACTCTTCCTTCTCAGCCGATTGGTTACCATCCAACCACTTGATCACCTCTTCGCACTTTTCGAGAACCTTCTTTCTGTCGTCTTCCGGGATCTTGTCCTTGACCTTTTCATCCTCCACCATCTGCTTCATGGAGTAGGCATAGCCCTCGAGAGCGTTCTTAGCCGAGACGCGCTCACGCTGCTTTTCGTCATCGGCCTTGTATCGGTCAGCATCGGTGACCATCCTGTCAATCTCTTCCTTAGAGAGACGGCCTTTGTCGTTTGTGATAGTGATGGTGTTCGACTTCCCAGTGCTCTTATCGACTGCTGAGACATTTAAGATGCCGTTAGCGTCAATGTCGAAAGTCACCTCAATCTGAGGAACGCCCCTTGGAGCGGGGGGGATGCCGGAGAGCTCGAACTTGCCCAGGAGATTGTTGTCCTTTGTCATGGCCCTCTCACCCTCGTAGACTTGGATGAGCACACCCGGCTGGTTGTCAGAGTAGGTCGTGAATGTCTGTGTTTGCTTAGTGGGGATGGTAGTGTTTCGCTTTATCAGAGTGGTCATCACGCCACCGGCTGTTTCGAGGCCGAGCGATAGGGGAGCGACGTCCAAAAGCAAGAGATCCTGCACGGCTTCAGACTTGTCGCCACTAAGAATTGCGGCCTGGACGGCAGCACCGTAGGCAACGGCCTCATCTGGGTTGATAGACTTGTTCAGTTCCTTGCCGCTGAAGAAGTCCTGTAAGAGCTTCTGGATCTTGGGGATACGAGTAGAGCCACCGACCAGTACAATATCGTGAACGGCGGATTTATCGAGCTTTGCATCGCGTAAAGACTTTTCGACCGGATCCAGAGTGCTGCGGAAGAGATCGGCATTCAGCTCCTCGAACCTAGCTCGGGTA